ATGTTGGTAACCAAACAGTTGATGGTAGAATTGGCTTTCATATATATATTTTTTTTTTTGCTCCATACTATGGAAGTCAATGGCTACCGTCAACTGTCTGGTCACCAACATTCTTCAAAATATCTTCTTTTGTGTTCAACAGAAGAAAGAATCTCATACAGGCTTGTAACAAGTGGAGGCTGAGTAAATGATGACAATATTTATTTTTGGGTGAACTATCACTTTAAGTTTCATTATTTATATTTGTGCAACATATTGGTCACCGGTTAACCGGTTATTTTTAATTAAAAAAAAATAAATAAATACAACACATTGGTCTGCCACTATCACTTATTATATGAGCTTGTCTGATGTGAAATCCAACCTGAATGTTAATTTCTGAAATGTTCGTTCATTGGCTTTGTCTCTGTGGCACTTCTATACGTTGAGCTGGTTAGAGAGACGGCTGGTGGGTCGTAAAGAGGAGAACTGCAGTGTCTGTTCTCTTACAGAAAGTGCTCGGGCTTATTAAGGGCTGAACGTGCAGCCAGGGAAGGCCGAGAGAGAGCAGGAAAGTGCCTGCTAGCCAACAGCTGCCCTGTAATTTATATTGATGAGGGGGCCGGTGGGCCGCTTCCACGGTTTTGATCATTCAGGAAAGAGTGGAGAGATGAGGGTGATAAGTCTGTGTGATGTGTGTGTGGGTAGGTGAGAGTTTGCGACGAGTGTGTTTGGTTAAGATTTTTGGAGTAGGAATAGGTTGCCAAGTCTGCGGGAATTCGGCTACTTCTGCTTGTCTTGTTTTGCGGTTTGATGCTCAAATTAGATTTGTATAACATGAGCTTTTGACGAACCAAGACAAAACAGGTAATAAGAATGGCATTTTTCTGAAAACAGTCGGGCCAACACAGTGAATTTACAGAAGAAGGAAGTTAACTGAGTAACTAACCAATAAATTGGAATAAATAAAAAATAATAATAATAATAATAAATTAAAAATAAAAAATTTGGGGGAAAAAATAAATAAATAAATAAATCACCACAAATAAAATCTAAATGCATAAAAACACAAATACTAAAAAAGACTTAATATATCTTGCTGGAAAAGAAAAAAAAACTATAAATATAATATATCAAAAATTCTAGCAGGAAGACAATACTCGTTTTTTATGGAAACAATTAGACCAGTTGTACAGTGAATTTACAAGTGAGATAAGATAACTGGGTAACTTAATGCTGACCACAAATTGGCCATTAGGTTAGTTTTGGTCATTGGGCTGTCTTTGTCTCACAGACCTGGCAACCCCAGATTGGGGGAAATGTGTGTAAATATAATGTTTGGGGGTTATAGCCTTGGGTGTGTGTGTTTGCATGTGCATATGAGCATGTGTATGAGCATGTTCCAGTTCAGTTGCTTCCATGAATGCATTATGAGTGCATATGCGGCCTAGTTGATTGTAAAACGCACATTTGCACAACCCCCCACCCAACACACATGCTCATCCTTCAGCCAATCTCAGCTGATCCCTTCATTCAAGTCAACATGAACATTTTATTCTCTAATGTGGCATATTTCCAAATGCAACAGGAAATTCAATGAGAAGTTGACATTACATACCAAAATGGGCTAATTTAGCTACCATGTTTTAGTGCTAGGGAAATGGTGGTTTTTAGGGTATGCTGGGTGGTTCCTTGCCACTAATGAAAGTAATTAGAGTTGACTTTCATTAGCCAATTCATTAGCACATTACAAGTGATAAATATGCTAATTTCTTTCATAACTGGCAAAGTCCTTTTTCTGCCCATTATGTATCTTTTGAACCCTTTCTCTGTCAAACAGCGCCCTTTGACCCATGCCACGAGCCCTAACATGTCATCTTCACACTTCATTCTCTTATTCTTTGTCTCCAATCGCCTCTCGCGCTTTCTCTGACACGCATCATTAGCATTTCTTTCATTGAAATTAAATAGTGAAGTCCGGTCCGTGGCTTTGAACCTTCTCACTTGAAACGTTCTTTGATTTCACTTCCTTCTATTAAGGGGAAGTGATCAGCACTGTAATTAAGATAGCAGTAGGGCCCTGGAAGAAAAGGATGAAAGACCACTGATCCACCTTTATGCTGATTGAATGGAGAAGACAGCTACAACTGGGTATTTCTAAAGCCTTTCAACAAGTCAAGTGAATGTAGACAGATGAAAGGATGGCAGTATTTTCAAATAAAATGACAAGATGATCTTTCATTAGCTAGATTTATTGCTGACTAAAATGCAAAACAAATACAGCCTCTCAGGAACTTGCTGATGCTATCTAGCTAACAATGCTATAGACACCAACAGCTCTACTGTTTTCAGTAGCGACTGCAGTTTAAATGTTTTCAAAATAGTGTATCTTTTCCAATCACAAGCTACAGTAGCCGCTAACCGCTACTTACTGTAGCTAACCATTACCGTGACAAAATGAGATATCATTATAGCCTGACTATGGTTTAACTACTTTAGAATTGTATCTTGTTAAGCTACTCATAATTTAAAGTAGCACTGATAAAGAAGTATTCAAAAAATGCAGCTTTAAACATCTCTTTAGAAGCTCAGGTGTGAAATTGAACCGACCTGAAACCTCAACAAAACTTGAAACTAAGATCTAATCACTGATATACTTAATCTGTAGGATGCACAGAGTCTTGAAAGGTCACGTATGCAACCTGTAAGAGATTCTACAATCTTCCCTCCAGAGCTGATACCTATCTCTCTCAGAGACTTCTCAAAAGGAACGTCTTTAACCTCACATGAAGCTCACGCACAAACTGCATCCTTGTTTTTAAAGCACAGGCAGTGTAGACATAGCACCTTCTTTAAAAAAATATTAAATTAATAAGTTAAAAAATCGTGTGACTCCTATGAAGGATTCAGATTTCTTAAATGACAAATAGAAGCATTTTTCAATATATATATATATATATATAACCTGACAAACTTGTCAAAGTATGTCTTGAAAATTACAATAAAAAAATAATAAAAAACAATAATATTAAAATGATACTTAATATCCAAATAATTTAATTTGAATTACCAATTTAATTAAAAAATAACTACTTACAAGTGTGTGTCTTCTTTGTTACTGAAATACCTGAAAGAAAGAGAGATAAAAAACATTAAATACATTTTCTTTATTTAAAATAAATAGTATGTAAAACTACAGTTGTGTACAGCTGAAAGTGATGTAAAATACAGAAAAAGCTGACAGCATATTGGAAGGGAGATGCTATAAGCCGTGACATTGACTGAAAGCCAAAAGCTAGCTTCGACTGTATTAATGCTTCCTAGTGCTGCCACAGGCTGTGCCTAAGCAAGGTCAGGCAGGTCAGTATGTTGCTGTCACACGGACCAGGCAGTCGCCTTGCTGTCACAGTTGACCTCCACGCAATGGAATATGCAACCTGTAAGAGATTCTACAATCTTCCCTCCAGAGCTGATACCTATCTCTCTCAGAGACTTCTCAAAAGGAACGTCTTTAACCTCACATGAAGCTCACGCACAAACTGCATCCTTGTTTTTAAAGCACAGGCAGTGTAGACATAGCACCTTCTTTAAAAAAATATTAAATTAATAAGTTAAAAAATCGTGTGACTCCTATGAAGGATTCAGATTTCTTAAATGACAAATAGAAGCATTTTTCAGCAGTGAAAATGAAACTGAGGAATAGTTTTCTTACAAATAGCACTATTATTGTTGACAACACAAATAAATAAATAAATAAATCTAAAATACAGGAAACAGAACTGAACCCATGCAAAACCCACCAAAAATCAAAACAAAACAGATAAACCCTGT